CAATGCTGAATTCAGGATCGAAAAATTGTTCACCTGTCGCAACTCTGAACAAGAATGCGCGTGAAAAATTCATGAAAATTCGTGCTTGACTCCAACCCCTATCATATCAAAGTCAAAAAACACCTATGGAATAAAACGTCTGCCGACCGACAATGAGGAGGTTGGTCGAATGACGCCTTTAAACTTCAAGGGATTTCTGCACCGACAACGACATAAGTGTTTCTATACCAACGCTCAGGGTTTTCTCAGTAAGTTTCTAGAAGTGGAACTACGTTGTCCGACAGGTCAATGGGATCTTGTTGCAGTAACCGAAACCTGGCTGACGACCAATATTTTAGACTTGGAGCTGCGACTAACGGGCAAGGTGTGATCGTCCAACGCGAGGAGGGCGCATGTTGCTCTGTTATCATAACAGCTTGCAATGCGAAAAAATTCAGTGCCTGTTCACTGCTTCTGATAAATTATTGTGTAAATTGCAGCTTACGCAACATGGTATCGGGTTGATTGATGTAGTTTATCGCCCTCCTTCATCAGCAGATTCATCAAATAAGATTTTGTTGCAAACTATTTATTGTTTCTTGTCATTGATATGCACCTACGTTCTAATTATGGGTAACTTCAAAGGCCCACAGCTGAGCAACATGACGACCTCATGTACACCGTTTGAACGACAATTTATGCAGTTCATCCAGCCACATCCGTTGTACAATCATGTGAAGGGGTCTTCCAGGTTTGGAACCAACTAAATTTCGTCAACTTTGGATATAATACAGACAATCAAAGAATTGATGGTAAAATCAACTGCAATCGTAACTCTGCTGGAGCCCAGTGATCATGCTGTATATTGTTCCAACAAGTTTGCTATGCATCATTAACAACAAAGTCTTCGAAGCGCTTTCGCAATATGCAAGACTAAACACCCTGGTTCATGGAATCCAGTGGATCTCCCCCGATGTAGGCTGTTATCCTCTGGACTTCTGGAGAAGATATACTAACAATATCACAATATTGGGACCTGCTGTTACAACCGTCAAGCGTCTATGAAAGCCGACTTTTCGAAAATTAACAATTTGCAATTGAAGTAGGAAGTGGATAGTGCAAGGGGACTTTCGACTGGACGGAGGTCAAACTTCGTCCATGTCCTAGCACTTGGGAAGCTTACAGTCTCCTTCGAAACCATTGTACCGATTTGGTGTGGGAAGACAAGCACACTTATCACGCTGGCGAGGAAATTTATCTCAAACCCTAAGCTGTTATATAAAGCATGTGAACGCTTCCCGGAAAGTCAAACATGGTGTTTCGACATTAAACTTAACAGGACATGTTTCAAGGATAACCAAGGAGGCTGAAGAAAGCCTAGGGGTGCAGTACGCTCAAGTGATCAATGCAACTAGTAATACTGTGTTATTACTTCTCAAATATTCCTTATACACTAATGACAGGTATTATCTTTTCTACCGAAAGGATAAAGGCAAGCTCTTGGGTTTAAAACAGAACTCATGACCGGGTCTAGATGATATACATCCGCAAGCCCTTATCACCCTGGCAAGTCACAGCCGATACTTTAAGTGGACTATACCAAAATTGGCTGAAGATACTTTGCTTCCTCAGTTGTGGAAAAACGGTGTTATTTCACCAATTTACAAAGGTAGATGAAGTAGTGACCTAGCCAACCACCGACCCGTCACTCTCCTTCCAGTGTTATCAAAAGTCATGGAATCCATTGTTGCGGATTCTAAACTGGATCGTCTTTAGAGTGATGGCTTACTATCCCCATCCCAGCAGGGGCTTCGGAAAATCGGTCATGCGAAACTTACTTGATTTTGGCTCGGGACGATTGGACCCATGCTGCAGACCAAGGCAAGGCGGTAGATGTTATGTACCTGGACTTCTCTAAGGCATTTGATAGGGTGAATCATCAATCCTGACATGAAAGCTGTAGAACTATGGAATCCGTGGACTCGTACTCGGATGGATCGAGGAGTTTCTTCGACTACGTACCATGTCAGTTCACGTTTTCAATTCACCTTTTGATTCATTAGATTTCAACTATGAGGTTCTACATGGATATCTGCTAGGTCCACGTCTTTTCCTTGTCTTTATAAATGATCTTCCAGACGTTCTCCGACCACAAACTCGGCTGTTTGCAGACGAGGACAAAATACGGAGGACAAAGCCAAAAGATTATTTTGATCTCCAGGACGCCCTGGACGAAGCTCGCAGATTCTCTGTCTCTAATGATAGGGAATTGAACGTTATCAAATGCAAAGTCTTATCACTGTGTCACAATGGTTTTTTCTTACATTCCATCAGGTTGGAATGCTTAGACGAGTTTTTGGATCGTTTGAGCCGGCATTGTTACCACGCCCATACACCGAGTACTCATATAAGGCGTAGAAATACCCGCATAGGATGGCTACCAAGATGGTCAAAGGTATAAATTCCAAAACCTACGGTGAAAGATTACAGCTAGTGGGGCTACACTCGTCTCAATATCGCCAAATCAGAGGCAATATGATCTTGCTGTATCGGATATTCCAACAGCCCAACCATCCATGAAAATCTCTTTTGCTTCTATCAGCAGTTGTTAATCTCAGAAGGCATCCACTGAAGTTGGCACTCCAAAAGAGCCGTCTTGAGTGCAGACATCATTCGTTTACAATCAGAGTGTGCAGCACATGGAACTCTCTACTACCTGACGTGGTATGTGCGCCAAAATTAGTATCTTTCAAGCGTCAGCTTGATGATGCTCTGGCAAACATTATGTTTCAACACCCAACTACATAATATATTCTTCTGTGCTTGTCACAAACATCATATTACTATTTTATGTACATGGAACAACTTTGACCTTGTGATTCGTGTTCCGAATCCAAAGTGTAAACACCCTATGGAATTTGTTAAACAAAGTCTCTGTCTGTTTCTCACATAATAGAAATTTGAATTTGAATTCGAAATACCTGTCACAACCGAAGGGGTATAAATGGGATTCCAGGTTTCATGTATGTTGCTTTTGCATAGATCAAATCTTCACCCTTTTGTCAGATGCCGTAACAAAGTCATGCATATGGGCGAAAAACTGCTGTTTTGATATTGAATATCAGAGTGACCTTCGACTCGATCGATTGCTTTGTCATCTGAACAAAATACTCGAGAAATATGTAATACTTTTGAGAACTCTCTCTCTTCGGACCTCAGGGAGGCTTATGGCCCGAGGTGAACTCTCAACCTCGGTTCCTGTCACCAGTGGGGTATTACACGGTGACACCATCCATCAGCTTCAGCAAAAAGCACAACATAACGTAACGAACGCAGTGTCGAGCTTCATTTTGTGAGAGAATGGTTGATGTAGATTGAGCCGACGATACTTCCTCACTCGGCGACAACACACCGGCGTTTCAAAATACCTAGAGTCTCTTGACAATTGAGGTTTCTCGATATGGTATGTCTTAATCACCCGCTAACTGCAAGTTGCTGCTGTGAGATAGGCAGAAATATGCCCCTGCATGTTTGTTGGGTAGTAACACTCTGGAAGTAGTCAACAGCTTCATCTATCTCGTGAGTTGTAAATTGACTGATGGAGGTATGGGCGAGGAGATCGCTCAGCGCGTAGTCAAAGCAAGGTTAGCATTTGTTATCCTACGATGTCTCTGATAACTTTGCGATATATCCCATTCACTGAGTGTGTGTGCGTGCATTGCGCAACAATACAACGGCTATGAAACATGGCCTCTCCAAGCAGATCATGTTCAACGACCATCCGTCGTCAAGAACCACGGTCTCCGCAACATCTCTCGCGGTATGTTGAGAGCATTGGAAATTACGATGAAGTCAGACAAAGTGTGTCAGGGTCAAGTAGTCTTCCACTGAACAAAACCATTTCATTGCACCGTCTTGAATGGCTAGGCCATGTGCTACTAAAGCCAGAACAATCTTTCCCCACCATGCGCTATTTGTAGACATTGTGCCGGATTGGGAAACCAGTGTGATGGAGAAGCTATGCGGAGGCGTAGAGAGTTGGGGAGATTGTGCTCGGATCTGGATCCCAAAACTAGAAGGACGAAGACGTCAAAAATGCGTGCAGTATACATGCAACACCGTTATCCACTGCCCCAAACCGGTCAATTTTGTGTTTGCTCTTCCGTTCCGCTTCTGTACTTTTCTCTCACCTTATGGTCACATTTATCACAGTATCTGTAAACACTGGTATTAAATATATAAATACATGTGCCTATCACGCTGCATTCCCATGACTGTTGCGGATGGCGTTCATTTCTCATAGTTAGTTCCTAAATTCAATATCGCAACCGTGATTTGTCTGTCTTATTGAGGACAATAAAGTCACCCGTGTGTCACCGCTGACCCATAACTTATCAATTATGACAGCAATGTGCTTGACAAATGTAATTCTTTGTCGAATTTAAACAGTTTGAACCCTAATCCCAATACACGTTTCTTGTTGAATCAAATTGGTACTGACAAGTAAGATTGAGATTTGATGTGACACTGTTGAGGGCTGTACATGAGTAACAACAATTTTGTACACAGCAAATTGAAGCAAACCGATGAACCATTTCGCTCAAAAGGGGTTCACATGCTGGACTGTACATATAGTAACAGCGTTCCCATACGTTCTCACATCTGTGGTAGTCGAATTCGGAACTCATGTTTCATGGTAGGCGTTCATTTATTACAGTCTTACAGTTTAGTGAAAAACGGAGTGGGTGCAATGTTCAAGGTTTGCTTATTAGGCTGTACCATTCTCAATTTGACGCATTTGTAAGTGATTTCTGTCCGTCTCCGACAAGTGTCAAAGTTCATTCCGTCTGCGATACACACGCCGAATACAAGGGAGATATTAAATTAATCTGAGCATTTTTACTTAGCCATTTAAATTGATAGAACTTTGAGCTAATGGATAATGGTACAATGAAGTTCACGTTTGCGTAGTTGGTGTGCAACTATAAATTGAGTGATTTCGATTCACGTAATTCGTGACCATGCAGTGGCTCTACTTGTTGTCATTGATTGTTTTGGTGACCGCAAATCACGAAGATCTGTGGCACCAGTGGAAACGAATCCACGGGAAGGAATACAATGGGGTGAATGAGGCGACACGTCGCTTGCAGTGGGAGAAGACAGTCGACGAGATCGGGCAGCACAATTTACGTCACGATTTGGGCCTCGAAACGTACACGATGGGTTTGAATCAGTTTGCTGATTTGAGCTGGGACGAATTTCGAGCGCAATATCTGCATGAATTCGTTGTTCCATCTGACACGGATCTTGAGCATGGAATACCATTCAAGACTAGTTCCAATTTACCCGTGCCAGATAGTCTAGATTGGCGTGAAAAGGGAATAATTTCGCTGGTGAAGAACCAGGTATGTCAATGTGAACGATGTGGTTTTCAACAAACCCCTCCCCTATCACTTCCAACAGGGTTATTGCGGTTCGTGTTGGGCGTTCGCTAGTACCGGTGCGATTGAGGCTCAGTATAAGAAAACATTCGGAGAGGATCAATTGTTTTCCGAACAACAGCTTGTTGATTGTAGCAGAGGATACGGGAATTTCGGATGCGCTGGTGGGCTGATGGAGAACGCTTACATGTACATCGCTAAATCTGGTCTGGAAGCGGAAAATGTATATCCGTATCGTGGCTGGGTAGGTTTGCTATCTCAATTCACAATGATGATTTTCATAAACCTGTGACAAAATATGAATGGGTGGATATCGGATGTTGCAATGTTATTTCCCACCTCTTTCTGCAATAGGAACAACCGTGTTTGCACAATCAGAACAATAGCCTGGTCAAAACGGTAGCTTACGCCTATGTTCACGATAACGACGAGTCTCGTCTAAAGACAATGCTCTTTGAAAAGGGCCCCGCTGCTGTGGCGATTTTCGTTGAACGCGGATTCCGACTGTACAAGTAGGTTGCAATGCGATTTGAAGTTCGCCTCGTTTAGTAAAGTGATGACAGGCATATAAATGCAACTGCTTTCCATTTATTGAAAGACATCAAAGCCGTGTTTCAATGCCAAAACAAATTTCTCATAAATGACTCGCTGTATTTCATGATTTTTTGCGTCACGTTCCCCACTGGCTGTTTGTGATCTCATCAATCTCATTGTGTCATATTTGCTGTTACAGATCCGGTGTCTATACAACGAATGCGTGTCCGAAAAAACGTGTCAATCACGGTGTATTGGCCGTCGGCTACGGCAGAGAGGGAGAAGCGGACTATTGGATTGTGAAAAACAGTTGGGGTCCTGAGTGGGGTGACAAAGGTTACATTCGTATGGCTCGAAACCGTGACAACATGTGCAGTATCGCCACTCTGGCCAGTGTACCGATAGTGGAAAAAATGTGATGTGATGTGGCATTGACTGGTTCAAATACAAACATTATCAGTTACTTTTGTGGTCTCCATTAGGAAGGAATATGGAGCTTTTGACAATGCTTGAAAGGACGCAAGTGGTTGGACATGTCCCATCTCTATCTCTAACACGAAGTCATGAATTATCGAAGTGACAATGAGAGGAAGGCTTTACTCTGAAGACATATCAAATGGAAATCATGGTCTCAATTGTAGATCATAATACATGTGGTTGAGAAAATTCCGCGACTGGATTGGTGAAGATGTAAGCAAATAGGTGAAATCCAATTACAGCAACACAAACGACCACGGAGTGCTTATCAATACGGTGCTTATCAATACGCCTGCATTACTGGTGCCATTTCCTGTACGAAGTACCGAAGTGTATGAGGATGGGGGGGGCGGGGGGGGGCAGGAGGAGGAGATGATGCCTTCTTTCTAGGGTTTGCGTGTAACGGATGTTCGTTATATTTGTAGATAACGAGTGACTTGCATTTGTGTGTTGTGAAACGTTGAAGTGACAGAGAATCTCGCTGGAACTACAATACAATACAATACAATACAATACAATACAATACAATACAGTATAATGGACTTCGTTTTACACTAATGGGGGAAACATTAGCACGGACATGTTGGGCAGACCCCAGATGGGATTGGGCAGATGTGGACAATGGGCTGGTATTAGTACCAAAATACGTATTCACATGAGCATTCTGCCTTATTCAGGAGCCCACTTATTTTTTCAAAGCAAGAAGAATCAAATAGCTGATGCTAAACACAATTGAATTCATCAAAGATGTTACTCAGTGAGAGATCAAGATAACTTATCAAAGCCACAGTAAAAGTGTCTGACAGTTGGAGAAGTTCCTCCGAGAGGGCCAGAAAGGGAAAATATACACTACTCAGAAGTAAATGTGAGTTAAATGCGAATCTTCATGAACTCACCATTGGAGGCAACTGTTCCTCATGAAGAGGAAAATTGCTGATCAAAAGTAAGGATAACATGGGTAGAATACTTTGCCAATCTCTACTTACTGCCCCATGGAGCACCCAGTACAAAGTTATTGTCGTTTGTGAGATCATGGACAACTGTAAGTCATTTTGATTACCAACTGTCTTATTCATTAAACTATGCGTATCCAATGGACGCAATCAGGATATGAAAGGATGAAACGAGTTGATCAGTGATACAATAAAAACGGGAATCTATGCAATGAAGCTGAGTAGCGAAGAGAGAAGCTGCAGGTGACAGATTGTTACCATTGACATTGTGGATTCAATGTAACCGTCATCCCGAGAATGACAGAGAAAAATGTGATTTCTGTTAGCTAGTGAATGGGTTCAAGTTTTAAAGTGCTATTCAGGTGAAATACTGGGTCCGAGAATCACTGATAAGTATCGTGTCAAGTATGAATTTCAATGTCAGAAGTACATAAGTAATCGTATTTAATTCAAAGGAATAGGTGTTATCTGAGGGAATCACGGCCCCAATGGAATTTACTCTCTATGATATTGAGTGCCTATTGATACTGATATATTCGCTTCCTTACCCGACCGACAGAGGTCAATTCCCACGGCGTTCGTTCATTTATGTCTATGACGCACACCCAATCAACGATCACGAACAAAAAGCTACCGGATGGGGTGGGGAGGGAAAGAGAAGCCCATCCATGGGGAACTCACTCAAAAAGTACTTTTGTTTATTTCCGGAAAATTTAGTTCACTCAGAGTGGACGGAGTTTAGACAGACCCGGTCCAATTGGTGATGTTTGACGGCCGAAAAATCAATCGTCTTTTGGGATTCCGTAGAATGCGATTGACTGGATTCACTTGAAGTTGACAAGGTATGGTATGTTGTTTTTTAGCTCGTGTTAAGTAACGCATAATAGGACTGTGAACGGACATCTTATAAAATAATCATTCGCAAAGTTTGAAAAATTCCCTGAGTGGTGCTCTGAGAACCGATGAGCAACAGACTTATTATCTTCCGCTGGACATAGAGCAGGGAATACGGTATTTTTCGCATCAGGAGGCCGAGAAAATCATCGAAAGAGAGAAAGTGCATCCTTTTGGGCGAGAAAGTTGCATAGTCCCGTGGCAGTTAAGTGCAAGCGGTACCACCTGTATAACCTTTCGGGAGTACGGACAATAGGCTACAAGTTCAACCTTCCCTCGTTGAATCATGGTATTCGTTATTTGTGATGGGTTTATTATAGGAATAGATAAATAAATACTTTTGCCTCACTTTTTATTGGGTATACAAATCTACAGTCAACTTTCGGGAAAGAGGCTGTGGCCATACGAAGATTGTCTGGGGAAATGCGGCATTGAAGAAAATGAAAGGGGTGTCGGGATTCTAAATCAGCACCACCGGGTTGTTATTCCGGTGACTAAACCAATCGATCACTCAGAGTTCAATAGAAAATGGAGTGACTCATAGTCTGTCATAATCGTTTGAATGATTTTAATGTTAATGGTGCCAACATACCTGCATCCAATGGTAGTATCGTCTAATTCTCAGTGTAGTTTATTTTATTTATTGTTCTCACTAATCCGGATAAATGTAATTTTTGCTGCAAACGTTAATAGTACCAAGATGTGTCCATCATTAAACGGACGAAAAAGCGCTTCACGAATATTCCTCAACTTCATTCAGTTCTAACTGATTTGCAATACCTTCCGCCATTCATTCACAACAAATTGGTTGATTGTTTGATATTCGTTCTATCAACACTTTTTCTTGGTTTTGTGTACGTGAAAGGATGTTACGCATTCTGTTGTGTTCTTACTACTGAGACATGCTTCACAATTCATTATTACTCAACGACAGCAATACCGTAAATACCAATAAAAACAGCACTGGAATCCGTGCGCTTTTTAGAGAAGATAGATTGTCGGATATATGTGTAGACTACACGAGCTTATTTTTAAACACAAGCAGAGCCATCTGCTGTTTACTGCGGTGTGAGACATATGTGTACAACAATCGTTTTCAAAGCGAATTTACTGTTGCTCCGGGTCACAAGGGCAGAGGTTTGCTCATCATCGAACACGCTGGAATAGTGCTCTCAACTCCTGCGATTTTGTACACCTTGGAGTCAAACACATACGCGACGATCTACAAACTGGAGTTCCTACAATTCCCGCAAGTTTCTCATGTTGTTATTTTCCGTCAAAAAGGCCAACACCTGTAAGAGCGGTATGGCAAACCGAGATTATTCTCTTTTCCCCATTGTCATTGAAACAGCTTGGAATTCCGCCGATCTTTTATATCTAAATATCTAACTTCACATCAAAAAAGACGATTCGATTCGATTATATAATGGATTTCGTCATGTACGGAGGGAACGATGAGTAAATTGAAAAGTTGGGCAGCATTGTGTGTTTTTTTCAAATGCGATTGAGCGAAAGTGACTGACTGAAAGACGGAACTAAATGCCTGCAACATACAATTGTATCGCTTTATCCACTCCTTATTTGTCTGCATAAATGATTCTGACGTTTCATGACGAGGAAAGCACAAAAGATAAACCCTGGTACGTAGTAGTAGTTGTACAGTAATCGTAGTTCCTTGGTGACAATGTTGATTGCTTTTGAATCTTTTCGTGATTCGAACCAGTCGAGACCCATCCTAGTGAGAAACTGTTCACAGACTCCCTCCACCCGGAATGAGTGACATCGGATAATTTACTAGATGTTCTCGTACAGCACATCCTAGCTTTTCAGCTCACACTTTGTTTATTCTGTACGCGGAACAATTGACTTCAATTCATGATACCTGCAAGCGGTCAAGCCTTCAGTTTTTCCAGAGGTTCTGTGTTCTAAACCCATCATCCGCGTCCGGCTTTGTTCACTACCTTGGATAAAAGCGAAACCTACTGGTTAAAAGGACTCCGTTCCAAGAAACGAATCGTAGAATTATATATTCATAGGTTGGAATAAGACGATAAGACCATGAAAATTTACCAAACCGTATGGCGTTGATCAGAATAGTTTAGTGGAGATGAAGTTTCAATACATCATGGGAGGATTCACCAGTTTTGAAGCGTATACGTCAGGATCTATCTGAAAACAAATGACAACTCTCCTGCCAGGTCTATTCGCGTAGTTGCTCTGAATCAATTTACGTTTCTCGGACAACCCAGATTCGTATCACAGACACCAATAACAGGCTTTTGGGAAAGATGTTTTGCATCGTTTCCAACTTTTAATTGACTAACATTTCCCATTAGACGTTCAAGTAATGTGATATCCAGATTGCAGTTCTACCCTTTGCATTATTTGATGCAGATTGAGACTTGTGTGCACCATGCGCTTCACTCCCTTCAGATCACCCTCAGATCAGTACCTTCAAACTCTCAGTGTAAACTCCAGATATCAAAGCCAATAACTGTGGGAGGTATACATTTATACGTTGCATGTGATAAATTACAGCATGAATGGGCAGTACATAAGTCCCTGGTGCGACGTATTCCTCGCTTTCGCACATACGCTCACATTCTCCTTTTTACCCCATTGTCAAACCGCCTGATGCCCGAACACTGACTGTCATCACTTATGCGGTGAAGTTTCGAATTCCGGTCTATCTGTCTCTTCTTGACCGTATTCAACCCAAAATTATCAGACTGGTCAAAGTATCGTATTGTTGGTTATACTGACGCCTGTACAAAGTTGTGACAAGTCTCTTTCAGGCAGCCGTACTCACTATTCACTCCGATTCTTCCTACAATATCTATGAGGTGTTCTGTTTATACCTTCCTATGAGTTTCTCACTGAGTTTCAAGTTCAACAGCACCTGGGGAATGATTGAAGTTTCTGATGTTTTCATAAATAATGTTCTTATAGTTATTCATTTACCGGATATTTCCATATTTTCCGGTTGCTGGTGGCTTCGGTAATTGCCATGTGTTATGAACGACCCAGGTGGAGTACCCAACCGGAAACTGAATATCGGAGTTGGATTGTCCCCATCATTTTCGCTCACCTTGGGG